ATTCTGCTAGATAGGGTGTCACATAGGACTGATTGATTTAGGATTTTTTATTATTTTTTTTAGTTGTTGATAGACCTTTATTTTGTTTATTTGTGGTGCTGAGAATTGAACCCAGTGCCTCACACATGCCAGGCAAGTGTGCTACCGCTGAGCCCCAGTCCCAGCCCTGATATAGGCAGTTGTCCATGTGGGATGACGTGGGCATGAAGGGAATTCTCTGTTCCTCTCATTCTAAGGCAGTGTTCTTCACCTGAGGCCCACAAAACCAGGGAAATATCTGGTAACATGAGGTGTATGTTCAGTGTGGGATGGGCTCTGTGTTGTGTCTGATTCTCAGAGGGGTTAGAGATTTGCTATCTAGAACTGGATTGGTGTTTATCATTTATTTAACCCATTTCTATATTAAAAATGTAGAAAAGAAAGGAGCCAGAAACAGAATGTTACACAATGTATCAGTTGGAGTGAAGTAGAATTAAATACCAAAAAGAGGATTGGGAGGCATATTAAGTAAATGGCCTCACTTTTTGCCACCACAATAAAACAAACTCTCAAGTGGACTTAGTTGAATCCAGTAGTGTAGTGTTGGGTCTATAATATTGTCTGTTCTCTGGACATCTCCAGGGAGGTCTTCAGGAAGTTGCTGATCAGTTGGATTTGCAGAGAATTGGAAGGCAGCACCAGGCAGGCTCAGACTCACTACTGACGGGAATGGCATTCTTCAGGATGAAAGAGGTAAACTCCATTGACTATGAGGACCTCTCTGAAGGGATTTGCTATTTAGAAACAACTAACTTGCTGAAGGATAAGGAGGTTGGTGATCTTTGTGGGCTCAGTTTCTCAAACCTTTATAGTTTCTGCTGGAAGTTAGTGGCCACTCTAAGAGCAGTTGTTTTTGTTTATTATGGTACATAATCAAATGTAGTTTGAGAGGCAGAAGCATTCTGAAGTGAACTACTTCAGAATACTCAAGTATTCTTGAGCATACTCAAGTCCAGAGTATATTTGGTGTTCCTAGCTGCTTTAATCCTTTAAGTTGTTTATTTTTCTTATTTTAAGAACAGGAACACATTTGTTAGGCCACTCATTTATGTATTGCTGAATTCTGTTAATTGTTAAATACATGGAGTTTACTCATTAATGAACACTGAATATTTCCTTTGATTTCTTACTTAATTCTAAGTTTTAAAATGTATTTGAAGAGATAGAAGAGTGAAAAACTGCTTTGAAAGATTAAAATGATTTTATTGACACCTTTGAGAAGTGAATTAGATTAATTGATACATTTCCTTGTGTTATTCCTAGTCACAAACCTCACTGTTAGCCATGTTCTGGGAAATTATGTTAGTCCACATTCCATCACTGTGATAAAATACCTAAAATGGGCTCTGTGTTGTGTCTGATTCTCAGAGGGGTTCTTAACCATAAAAGTTCAAGAAGTCACTACCCTAATGAATTGTTGGCATAAGAGGTTTGTTGTCTAGAACTGGATTGGCATTTATCATTTATTTAACCCATTTCTACATTAAAAATGTAGAAAAGAAAGGAGCCAGAGATATTCAACTTAAGGTGGAGAAGTCAGTTTTGGCTCACAGTTGTTATTGGCTTTGTAGTCTTGGGGCTGTGTTGAGGCAAAAAATCATGTCTGAGAGTGGGTGATGGAGGAGGCCTGTTCACCTCATGGTGGCTGGGAAGTAGGGAGAAGGAGGCGCTGGAGTCCCAGTACCCCTTCAAGGGCGCCCCCTCAGTGATCTAACTTACTTCCACTAGACCTTACCTCCTAAAGGTGCACCACCTCCCAGTAATGCCACATACTGGAGGCCTTCAACACAGGGCCTTTGGGGGTCATTGGAGATCTTATCTGTAACATTCTGCCTTTGACCACCAAAGGCTCATGTCCATCTCACAGTGCAAAATACATTGAGTCCATCTCCAAGAATTTTCAGATTGTTATAGTTACAGCATTCCTCCAAAGTCAGTGTTCAAACTCTCCTGAGACTTAAAGCAAACAGCTTTCAGCTCCAGTAAAAATAAACAAAACAAAACAAAACTAATTTTCAATTACATATTTCCAAGATAAAATGGCGTAGGGTAAACATTCCCATTCCAGAAGGGAGAAACAGGGCCTAGGAAAGGAAGGATTGAGCCAAAGCAAGACTGAAAACAAGCAGGGCTAACATTAAATCCTATAGTTTTGTCCAGCATCCTGTGTACACAGTGGCATGATGTGAATTCCAAAGGACTTTGACAGCTCTGCCTTCATGGCTAGAGACCATGTGGCCACTTTTGGGCTGGTTCTGCTTATGTTGTAGCTTCCCTTGCCCAGACATTTTGTGGCTTCCTTGAGTAGATGTTTTTTGTTTTGGGCATCTAACTTCCTGGGGTCTCCAGTGCAGCTTTGGCTTTACTGTCATGAATTCATGTATCACAGCTTTATGTGTCACCCTGTCAGGGGCTGCTTACAGGCATTTGACCCTGACATATACTGCTTGGTTCCCTGGCTTTCCTATGAAATCTTGGTGGAAGCCTTTGGGACCCCATAATTCTTGGCATTCTGCATGCAAAGTCAGCATCAAATGGACTGCCACGGTTTGTGGCTGGTCTGAGCTATTCCTGGGTCCATTTGAATCCTAGCTGCAACAGCCTAGTGCCTTGATAGCTGAACAAAGGAAACAAGAAAAACAATTCTATACATACCTTTATGAGCAGGGAACCCAAGGATAGTGGTGGTGGGGTTTTTTCCCTAAATCTTTGAGCCTGCCTTAGGTGGGGTCTTGCTGATCCCTGAGGTGTCCTCAAGGCATCTTTCCTGTTGTCCTTGTATAAAGTGCTTTGCTTCCTTTTAATGATTTTCATGGCACTAATTTTTTTTTTTTGCCCCAACTTTAAATAGACTTCTTTTCTGATCAAATTGCATGTTTTCCAGATCTTTCTGCTCTGATTTTTGCTCCCAGTTTCGCTATAAATCTGGCTAAAAGAAGCTAGCAGTATCCATGCTGTTGCCTGAATGCTCTGCTTTCTTGCAATTTCCTCTGCCACATAAACTTGTCTTTCATTTTTAAACTCAGCCTCCTACAAAGTTTCAGGGCATGAACAAAATGTAGACAAGTTCTTAGCCAGAATGTAACAAAAATGGACTTGAATCCATTTCCCAACAGAGTCCTATTTCTCTGAAACCTCATTAGCACAGCCTTTACTGTCTGCATTCCTATCAGCATTTTGATTTGGGCTCCTATCAGAATTGCCCATTAATCTCCACTCTAGCAAATTCAGGCTTTCTCTCGCTTCTTTTTCCACACTTTTCCAACTTCTTCCTGCAAACCAGTTCTAAAGACTTCTGAGCCATATTGTGAGGAATAGTCACCAGTTTTCTGTTAGCTTTTGATTGCTGTGACAAAATACCTAAGACAATCAAAAGGATGAAAAGTTTATTTTGGCTTATAATTTCAGAGGTTTGAGTTTATTGTTGGTTGAGTATTGTTTTTGGACCAATGGCAGACCAGCATGACTGGGAATGTGTGGAAGAGGATATTTGTTCACTTCATGGCTGTTAGGAAATAGAGAGAAGGGAAGGGGCAGGGTTCCAATAAATAGCCCCTTAAGGGGCTAATGACCCTAATGACCTCCTTCCTCACACCAGGCCCCACCTCCTAAATGTTCTGCCACCTCCCAGTAGTACCACAGGCTTGTGACCAAGCTTCATTATGGCCTTTGGGGAAAACATTTAAGATCCAAACCATAACAGAAGTGTTTTGGGTTGGTGGTTCTCAACTGGGAATGATTTTGCTTCTCCCAATAATGTCTGGGGACATTTTGGGTCACCATAACTTGGTGGGGGAGGATGGTGTGCTGCTGGGCAGGAACACTGCTAAACATCCTGATACACTGCCAAATAAAGAATTATCTTGCCCAGTAGTGACATTGTTGAAATACCCTGCTCTAAGTGCTCAATGTCCATAACTCATGCCTTGTAACAATTCTGTTATCCCATTTTATACATAAGAACCATGGCTTAAAAATACTTGAAATGACATTGCCAGTGTTACAAGGTGAGTCAGTCTGAGTCCAGAGCCCAAAGTCTTAACTGCTGACTTGCCTGTGAAAGAGAAGGGGCAGGGGTACTAAACAGTACAGGGATCCTGCAGTAAGCAAATTCCTGAGAGTTCTGAGTTTACTAAGAATAAAAAGACTATGTACAGGAAAGGTGTGGAGCCCTTTAAAATTAGTTTCTAGTTTGCTAGATTTTCAGGGATTTTAGAGAGCTGAGAGGGGTGACGTGAAACTGGTATGACTCCTGGACTGATTCTCACTGCAGTTCTCTGTCCTACTCTGCAGTTATTTTTTGAGGACAGTATTGATGATGCCAAGTACTGTGGCCGGCTCTATGGCCTAGGCACGGGAGTGGCCCAGAAACAGAATGAGGATGTGGACTCTGCCCAGGAGAAGATGAGCATCCTGGCGATTATCAACAACATGCAGCAGTGATGACGGCAGGCTCTGCTGGGTGGGCCTGATCCCAGAGTGGTGCTTCCTGTGCTGACTGTGTACTCATCTTCCCCAAGAGAGAACACTTTTGAGCAAACTGTACCTGCCATCTGCATCGAGCAGAAAGACTTGTTTTACTGAAGACAGAAGATGTCTTTATTTTAGATCCACAAGAGGGGAATTTGCTCTGAATTTGTAAACAAGTCTTCCCTGTTCCTCATCCCCATGCCTCTCCTCTCCAGTTGCCTCTTACCACCAGCATCCAGGGCTCATTTGACACCTTTTAAAATATCCAGGACAGGTTTGAAACAAACTAGTAAAATGTATATAACTCTTACCTGTTGTCATTCTTTTTATTTTAAATTTGTTGCTGATCTCTAATGAAAGATTCTTGCTATGGTTCTCAGCTGAGCTGAGCGCTTCCAGGGAAAATGGTACAAAATGGTGTTCTTGGGAAATGGGTTATACATTTTGAGGTTTTTCCCTTTCCTTTTTTGACCCTTCTTGAGGACATTTACTTTCCTCATACTATGGTAGTCCTTTATGTACTGTTACATGGAAATGAATTGCCCACTGCTGAAATTTGAAGACAGTTTTACATCATCTGTCTACCCTTCATTCATGATCAGCTCCAGGATGGATATTAAGTTGACCACTAAAGTACCTTGAAGTCTGTTCCACTGTGCCACTGAGATTTGGTATCACTCAGGCATCATCTGAGGTCATTTTAAATTTTCATATAATGAATTCGATCCTGAAGGAAATGAGGAAGTTCAGATTTTAGGGTCTTATGCATATTGTATTTTTAATAATGTGCTTTCAGATGGTTGTCTGTATTCTCCCACCTCTTCTCCATTTTCCCTGTTTAACTTTCAGCAAACTCCAGGAATTAGATGGATTAATGAGTACCAGGAATGAGACTCAAGTTACAGTAACTTATAAACAGGACAGTAAAGGAACTTGGTTTAGAGAGATCTCTTGGAGTAATATCCCACAAATGGGGATAGAAAGCTCAGGACTTTTTTTTGTTGTTGTTGTTGTTGTTTTTAAAACTAATCATTTAAAAAGTACACTGTGATTTTTTGAATGACTACAGAATGGAGTTTTGAAAAACCAAAAACTTCTTTGGAATGGTGGAAATAAAAACCAGTAATTCGCTGAAGTGGATGAATAGTCTTGCATTTTAAAAGCTTATGGAAAACTCAATTTGAAATGATTAAAAAATGTCAAGTATTATAAGCTGGTATTTAAGATGCTTGTAAATATTATTTATGTTTTTAATTTTGTAAAATAAAGATTTTTTTAACCACTGGCATGAAGGTTTGGTCTTTGGAAGATGGAATGACACGGTAGGGTCTTGCCTTTATTATGTTACGTTAAAAACATTTCATCTGGTAGGAACTTGCTAAGGAACACCAGTGGACAGAATTGTCTGCTTCTTACCCTGCTGTCAAGCCTTGCTACGAAACCAATTTTATTTTCTGGGGCCACTTTTCTTTGGTGGATTAGCTTGTTGTTAATTAATGGAATTCTTTAGGATGTATGAATGTGAGGTATGTTAGACTTGGCTCAGGGTATTGTTTCTGTCTTTTTCTATTCTACTAAAAATGTGTAATTATAAATCCAAAACAGAGCTAGTATTTAAAAATTTGTATCCAGTCTGGGTTTTGCTGTTGCCCAGGCCAACCCTGAACACCTGGGCTCAAGCTGTCCTACTGCCTTAGCCTCCTGTACAGCTGGGACTACAGGCATGTACCACTGTGCCCAGCAGATCTAATTTTGGCTGGGAGGGAGGTCGTGTATAAGGGCTATTTATTACTGTAAGATTTGGAAAGCTGCACTCAGCAGTCAAGGAACCCTGGCACTAATGAGTCTCTTACAGGTGTCCTTCCAAATTTGGATTAAAATAGGGATTTATCTTTTCTACAACTGAGAACAGAATTACATGTCAGGAGAAATGCTGAGATGAAGGGTAGAGGAACCCAAATGTTGAGTAGAGGTCTGGTCACTGCACGGGAGAGGCATGAGATTATTAAAGTGGTTTTAACTAAAGAACTGGCCAGAACTCTGCATAGTGTGTAAGTAGTCATTTTCAGAAAAGCATGGCGTAGAAGGGTCAACTTTGGGTATAGTTCAATCCTATATATACTGCCCAATATTTTGAATTCCCGTGTTCTGTTGTTCTGGTAAGGTGGACTGTCAGCCACAAGCCACTGCTGGAATGAATGAAGTCACTTCAGAGCTCTTTTAAGTCCAAGCTACCAGTGAATTAATTTTCTCATTTATTCAAGTCAGTGAATTCTCATTGAGCACCTACAAAGTACCGGACACTTGCTAAGTTCTCTACCCTCCCTGGAGTTTACAATTTCCCTGTGTTGTCAGACAGTAAATAATTCACACAAATACAGTTTAACGTATGAGTCACTGGGGTTGACATTGAGGGAGTATTTTCAGAGAAAGGGCATTTAGGCGGAGAATTAAAAACGGGTTAAGTCATCCAGGGGAACAATATAGGTAAACCCCCAGAAGTGACAGAATTAAAGTTGGTGTGTTCCAGCAATAAGACTATTGTGGCTGGAATCTAGGAGCAGGATGATAGTGGCCAAGAGGTGGCATGGGAACAGGCTTGCCCATGTAAACTACATTGAAGATTTGTGTACACCACCCCCCCCTCCACAAGACTCATGGGAAAGGTTGTTAAGAAGGGAACTCACAAAGCTAGAGGAAGAATGGAGAATTAGTAATCGTGCATTCAGAGAAACTCTGGAAGGCCACTGCAATCATCCAGGTAACTAGGTGGTGGTAACCAGATGTTGATCTGGGATGTTGTAGGGGTAGGGGGAGATCCAAAACGATTACTTGGTGATATATCTTTGCCACTTAAGTACCTGAGTCATCTGCTTGGTGCTCTGGCTTATTATGGTTCTGATAATTAGGGAGATATAAATGATAATTATTTACTCAAATTATAATAAACATACTATACAGTATTAGACTAGGGAAGGAGTTTAAGAGGAAGATGAGTTGTTTGTTATACTTCTGCTATTGTTTTTTTTTTTTCCTTTTCAGAGAGGAAAGCAGATGCACATTCAAGGGAGAAAGGATATCTCAAGGGAGAGACATTTTTTGGGGTTAAGTTAAAAGTACACATTCAAGGGAGAAATGTGGACCATCGATAGGAGACAGCCTTGTTTTTATTGCAGTTTTCAAGTAGCAGTTCTTGAATCTTACCAAGTAGTATTTGTATTTGTGCAGAGCTCCTCCTCCCACAGGTAATGTTTTAGTGAATCACACAGGAGTTTGGAATTTCTAGTTTAATAACTGCTCATTACTCAAGTGGGAGGGAATACATTTTTTTTTTTTTAATTTGTTGTGGAACCTGCCATCTAGTCTGCAGTTAGCCACACCCATTTATCTTTGCATTCAAAAAGATTCTCTACCCTTAGGACCACTGCATCTTCTTATTAAAGTTCAGTTACTATGTAAAGGACTATGAGGATTTAAATTTTACTATATTTCCTTTTTGTGATTTAGCATTTTTTTAAACATTAAAGCTAGGCACTTACAAATGTCTTTTAAACAAAACTGTCTCTCAAGCCTTTTTCTTATCTGAGAGTCTCTGTTAATTTCATTCTTGCTGTTTTTACAACTCCAACCTTAGGAATTAATTGAAAAACTAGATACCAAGCAAAAAAGCCTTCACAATGAATCTTAAAAGAAAACAGTTCAATTATTGGGAAGGTGTACTCCCTCCCCCACCTGAGATTGTCTAATTTTCCTGTCTTAGTAACTGGATATGAAATATTGTTCAACTGTTTAAATCTGCAGAAGGAAGAATAAGAATTTACAAGGGCTGGGGTTGGGGCTCAGTGGTAGAGTGCTTGCCTAGCACACATGAGGCCCTGGGTTTGATCCTCAGCACCACATAAAAATAAATAAACAAAGGTATTGTGTCCATCTACAACTAAAAATATTAAAGAAAAAACCAATTTGTAATTAAATAGTATTAGGGTTCCTTTGTGGAATGTCCAATGATCCAAAACTTATATACATAAAATTAAGAATATGCATTTTTCTTCAAAGAGTATTTGTGGTTTTAATTCTCAAAAGGGTTCTGTGACCACAAAAGATTAAGAATCACTGAAATAATTTCTTCCTGAGCTAATTGATCACCATCAATCATTTGTCATAAAACTGAAGGAAGGGATAACACACATTTGAGATAATTCTTTGTTCCTGTAAAGCTTTAGTAACTGATTTGTCCAAATAAGCAATTCTGTAAAACAATAAAATCAAACTTTCAACCTAAAGTTCAGATGAAGGATCAAGAGTCAACATGATGAGAAAGGCCTATATCACTTTCAAACTTGAGTCTTGGAAAGAGTATATGTGGGAGAGCCTAGGTTTTAATAAAAATAATTAAAAACAAAACTATACTAATAGTCATAAAATGTGGCAATTCCACCTTCAACAAAAATGAGATGTTTATGATCAGGTGAAGTATTTATAAAGGTAGCTGTGTTCAAGAACATAACACTTTGGGTGGTTACAAAAGTTTCTCCTCTTTGGGTGAAACCTGCATAAGGCTTTAGAGATGACATAATCACTCTGCAGGTTATTAGTTCTGAGCAACTATTGCTGGCTTCCCGTGATCTTGAGTTCCAAGTCAGACTCCACTGTGTCTAAGGGTAGACAGTTGATTCAAGCTTAACCCTCACTGTATTAGTCTGTATCACTGCAAACACATCTAGGGATCAGAGTGAATGCCTGGCGAGATGTAACTGCAGAGTTGAAAGATGTCAATAATTCTGTGGCACAGTTTCTGCAAGGTCCCTGAAAGTTCACGTGCAGAAGGTCTGGCAGTGTCTTTTGTAAGCTTTAGTGTTGCTGTATTTCTGAAGGAGTTCTTGGGCCTGTTGCTGCATTTCTTGGGTCACACAACCAGGGTACTGGGACCCAATATGAAGCAGGACGAGGCAGCACTCCAGCACATCTGGGAAGGGCCAGGTCTGAAAGATGTAAGGATGAATAAAGACATATTTGCAAAAGAGCCAGAGACGACACTACTAATCCAGATTCATCTAATCATTCTTCTCAGGCTGGACTGAGCCATTTCTCTCATAAATGACATGCAAAACTACGGTGGTTACTAGATTTCCTTGTCAAGTGATCATTTTTCTAGTGGCCTACTAAAATCAACTCAAAAAATGCTGCTGCTCTTCTTCTAGAGCCACAGCCAATTTTCTTACATACATATTTGTAAGCTATCATATATGTGGCACCATTTACATTTTACTTCTTACTTCCAATTGTAAAATGTTTGATTTGATTTCTCTTTGGACTCAGTTTTCAGACTATCTTGTGTGATCAATAATTCTAGTTTCATTTCCACAAAACATTTTAGCTAACCAGAAACAACTGGATCCTAAATTTTTAAATACATAAATATTTAGATTTTAGAGACTGAAGAGAGAAGTAGATTACCTTTAAAAATCTGTAGAGTCAAGTGATAACACAAAAAGTAGTGTCTTATCAGAAGAACTGCTATAGAGCTTACCTTAATGCTCTCAGGAAAGTCAGCCATTCTTTTGTTTGCCTCCGTAAGCCTTTTGGTTAATTCAGGTAGAGAGACCATCTCATTTTTTTCTTCTTTACTAGTAATAATAATAAAGTACAAGTCAGGTGTCTTGCCTTTAACTTTCCCCCTTAATTATTTTTATTATGGTAAAATACACATATCATAAAATTCACTGTCTTGAACATTTTTAAGTACACTTTTTCTGTAGTATTGAACACTTTCCCCTGATGTTGTAAAATCATCATTACCATCCACACCCAGAAATCTGTTTCTTTTTATCTTGTAAGATTGAAATTCTACATACATTAAATGATAACTCTCCATTCTCTGCTTCCCCCCTCTTGGCAGCCACCACTCTACTCTGCCATACAGTTGGAATCACAGTCTCTATCTTTTTGTGACTGGCTTATTTCACTTGGCATAATATCCTCAAGATTCATTCTCAAGAGCTGTAGATAAGCAAGGAAGGAAATTTTGACATTCTCTCTCTCTGGATATTTAGGTTGTTTCCTTGTTTTAGCTCTTTTGAATGGCTCTGCTATAAACATGGCTGTACAATTCTGAGACCTTGCTTTTTAATTCTTTGGCTGTATATGCAGAAGTAAAATTGCTAGATCATATGGTAATTCTGTCTTTAATTAGATGAACTGCCTATTGTTTTCCATAGTGGTTGTCTCGTTTATATTCCTACCTTTATGCAAAAGGTTCTAATTTTTCTATACCCTCATCATCACTTG